AATAAATCAAAAAGGTACGAACTGCCGTGAGATTGCGTTGGCATTTCACGTGTACATTTGTGGCTGTGACACAACATTGTGTACATTGCCTCTGATCTGCTATTTCCACCAAGTTAGTCCTAAAATAAAAAGTATGCCATCTGAAATTAATTTACCAATACATTAATAAAAATGAATAAATTTATAAAACAAATGTGAAATTTTTTTTTTATTTAATATTTTTTAATAAAAAAATGAATAAAATTGAAATTTAAATAAAATACATTTAAAACAAAATTAATAAAACACATTCAATTCAAAATAAATAAATTAATTTAAATAAATTAAAGTAAATAAATGTGAAAAGTCAGCCGTTTGTATTGTTGGACGGGTTTGTTTCACTGGTTGTTACAGTCTCCCCCCACCTCCACACAGAGCCGTAAAGGCTGTTATATTAGCTGGCTACCATGGAATGGTAATTTAATGCAGCCGCTGTGTGAAGCAGCCCAATAAAAGAAGCGTGAAGTGTTTTAACAGGGTAAAAGCATGAGCTGAAGCCAGAGCTGCAGTGTGATGAAGATGCAGACCACAGGATATCAGTCTACCAAGAACATTACAAGGAAGATTGCATTATAAAATCACACCTTTTACAAAAGTGAATATTGTTTTTGTTTGTTTGGTATTGTGTGTATTATTAAGAGCCAAAATGTTGAGGTGAAACCAGTCGATGTCATAGGAGGAGTATTAAAAACACAGATGTGTTGTAGACTGCAGAAAGGAAGGATTTTGGGAGACTGTGATGACATTATGGATAGAAGAAATCCCTCATAAGTTATGTGAAAGGAAATATTGGGAAGACTGAGGAAGCAGAGTGAATTAGTTTTTATTTTGATGCTGTTTTGAAATGTGCTGTACAATTCAGTTAAGTTTTAGTTATTGGTATTAATCAACATAGGCTCGTTCTAAAAACGTAGCCCTATATACATTTCTGGAGAGCATGAATTATAGAGCCAGAGGTATGTATGGCTGCATTTCGTTCCAGACTTCTGTGGCTCCGCTCAGCCTCTTTGCCCTTTTATGGTCAGCCCCAGCCGGCTGACCAAGTTGGCCCCGCCCACTTGTAGCTTCATTTGCGCTCTTTAGAAACTTATAGGTGATGTCACAGACACTACCTTCGTAACTCAGTAAACAGCGGTGAGCTTGGTTACCTTCATGGGCAATCACAGTCAATTCTGATGAGCAAGTGAACACAATGGCAAATCAGCTCTAAAATGTTTAAGAACGCGCTCAACAGCGCTCAAATGCTAACGGGTAATGGACGTTTTTAAAATTGTAGTATTGATTGATACCAAATTCCAGTATCGTGACAACAAACCTGCTCATGTAGTGAAAACAAGATTTCAAATTCAAAATCAAAATGAACAGGTCTGCTCTTGGATGTCAACGAGAGCATTGTGAGCTTGCTTATTTTGGACTTCATTTCCCATAATGCAACAGATTCTATTGGTTATAATCAGACTTGATAAAAACAGTCAGCTGAAACACTTTGATTGACATTCTCCCTTTGTACGTGTCATCAGAGGGGGAAAGCCCCGCCCACTAGTGAACATCTCTCCTTCGTTAAGAAGATAGGCTGCGTCCGAAACCGCATACTTCCATACTATGTAGTACGCCAAAATCAGTATGCGAGTCGAGTAGTATGTCCGAATTCATAGAATTCGAATATCAGTATGCGAGAAGTACCCGGATGACTTACTACTTCCGGCGAGATTCCGGAGTGCGCATCCCATGCATGCTGCGCTATCCCATGATGCCCCGCGAGCGAATTCATGAATGGAAGTAAAGCGACGCAACTGACGCAGGTAGGTCACGTGACCATGACAAAATGGCGGATGTAGTACGTCCGAATTCCATTCATACTTTTCACATTCATACTGTATAGAATGTACTTTTCTAACGGCCGAGTAGTACGTTTAAATTCAAATGCAGTACCTACTGAGTAGTAGGCGGTTTCGGACGTTTTTGAATTTGCCACTATGCTGACACATGGACATCTATAGCTCCGCCCTCTTTTGAAAAGACCACAATCTCATTTGAATTTAAAGCGACAGTCACCAAAACGCCACAGTTTGGATTAAAGACTCAAAGGATCAGCTTCAGAGAGTTAGAAAACATTATTAATGTTGTATTTTGTGCTGAAACCTCACACACACTCTACACTATAAAAAGTGATTAGTTACTGAAAGCGAGTTAACCATTTGCCTTGAAAGCAACAAGTTGACTTCACAAAGATAATGTAAGTAAACCCATTGTGATTTGGAAGTTGACTTTATTTTTATAATTATGCTAATCGTACTAATTAACCCATTTTTACAGTGTCAGACTATTTTAGCACATCTCTTTTCAAATAATTACTGTAATTATTACAATATTTGGTGCTTCATTAAGTCTATAAAATTTTCAATTATAGCCTTATTGAATTGAGAAGACACACTCAAGTCTGGAAGAGCAGATCTATTTTAGTTACTGTCATTTTGCTAGATACTTGAAAAGCTGGGAATATATATAATAAAGGTGTACTGGAAATAGAGATTAGTTTACTTTTATTGTTAAAAAGTGAGTAAAATTTGCATATTTATAAAAATGAAGTTAATGTATTAATATTATATACACCTGCATTATCGAAACAAACAAGTCTGAGAGTAATGGGATCTTGCTTATTTTGGACTTCATTACCCAGAGTGCACCAGAGGGGGCGGTTCATTAACATGTGCTTTTGTTATTGTTAAACTCACACACTCATCTTAAGTCTCATCAGGATCATAAGCACATGTACAACATATCTCAGGTGATCTGAATCTGCCATCAGCTTCATTTTGTATTAAGGTAAGAGTCAAATTTATTTCTGTTTTAAAGGCATGCTGATTAAAGGAAGATGTAAACTAAATTAAGTCATTTTAAATGTTTTAATTTTGCTGTTTAAGTTTGGAAGTCATGTGGTAGAGCATCCGGTCAGGGGTTTAATTTATAATTAATGATAAAATGGATTGCATTGTAAATCACATGGAGGATGCTGTCTATTAAATGCAGGAATGTCATTAAATCTGACATTTGAATTGTTGAAAAGGTCTCAGTAAATTATTATTATTATTTTTGTTGCCATGATGTTGTCATTATTAGCCAGGAATTTTTTGCACAGTATTTCATATAATATTTTTTCTTCTGGATAAAGTCTTATTTGTTTTATTTCGGCTAGAATTAAAGCAGTTCTTAATTTTATGGAAACCATTTTAAGCTCAATATCATTAGCCCCTTAAGCAATATTAGTTTTGCATTGTTTACAGAACAAACCACTGTTATACAATGACTTGCCTAATTACCCTAACTTTACCATAATTAACCTAGTGAAGCCTTTAAATAAGCTGAATACTAATAAATATGTAGTCAAATATTATGTGCTGTCATCATGGCAAAGAAAAAAGAAATCAGTTATTAGAGATGAGTTATTAAAACTATTACTATTACGAAATGTGTTAATATCTGAAGGCTAGATTTTAAAATAGATTATTACATCTTATGCTTAAATAAAAAGATTGCTAACACTGAAGATCTGGAAATGATGACGACTCCAGCTTGTATTTGACTCGTAGACGTTGAGAGAAAGAATGCTGTTGCCCCATGCACTCTCATGCAGTTTCACAACACATGGAAATCTAATAGCGGCCTCCTGCAGCGTCAAGCATGGCTGTAGTTTGTAGTTTAATGGAAAGACACTAAATATAGCTGAGCACACAAACATGATTGTGCTGAATCACATTCCCAAGAATGAACATGTCGAGGGATCATTTACATCTGATCCATTATTGTCCAGCAGGGTCAGTTTGACATCTGTAAATGCGTGTTTTAGTCGTACAGGAGAAAATACTATAGCAAATTTATAGTAAACAAAACTAAAACATGAACCACGCTAGAGTAAAGTGTATTATAACGTACATATTAAAGTGTTCACAGGATACTGTAGTTTTATCTATAGTGAGCTGATAGATACTGTAGCATGCTTTAGTTTTTACTACAGTAAACTGTTGTGTATCGTGACATTATTTACTGCTGTATTGGGTTTTTACCACAACAGATTCATTCATAAATTTTCTTTTTGGCTTAGTCCAGGGGTGTCCATGTCCAAACTCGGTCCTAGAGGGCCAGTGTCCTGCATAGTTTAGCTCCAACTTCCTTCAACACACCTCCTTGGAAGTTTCCAGTTTACCTAGAGAGAGCTTGATTAGCTGCTTCAGGTGTGTTTAATCGGGGTTGGAACTAAAATATGCAGGACACCAGCTCTCCGAGTTTGGACACCCCTGGCTTAGTCCCTTTAGTCACAGCGGAATGAACCACCAACTTATCCAGCATATGTTTTACACAGCGGATTCCCTTTCAGCTGCAACTCAGCACTGGGAAACACCCATACACACTCTTTCACTCACATACACTACAGGATAAGCTTATTCAATTCACCTGTACTGCATGTCTTTGGACTGTAGGGGAAACCGGAGCACCTGGAGGAAACCCACACGGGGAGAACATGCAAACTCCACACACAAATTCCAACTGACCTAGTTGGGGCTCAAATCAGCTACCTTCTTGTTGTGAGGCGATCGTGCTATAACTGTGCCACTGTAATGTCCTAAAACAGATTCATTTGAATATAATATGTTTTAAAAACACTACAGTATTTGCTAATGATTACTGTAATATTTTTTCATGTGGTTTTTAGAGGGTTAAGTTGTCAATAAAAGACAAATTGACCCAATTCAATATTTACCATCTGTAAATTCATTTTTAATGCCCAAATTAAAAAAATACTACAGTAATTTTTTAGTAAATACTTAATGTTTTTTTTTTTTTTTACCATGAAACGTATTATACTGTATATATTATAGTTGACATAATACTGTAGTTTAACTACAGTGAGCTGATCATTACTGTATTATATTTATTATAATATTATATTTATATTATTATAAATATTTATTTATTTATTATGAATATTATTTATTTACTTTTTACTATTGTAAGCAGTGATATATTGTGGTATAATACATCCTGTTGGTGATAAAACTGCTGTATTGGCTCATTTGTTTGTACTAATTGTTGAGTTACAATAGCAACTACACTCTCAGAAGTAAAGGTACGTGAGCTGTCACTGGTTTGGTACCTTTTCAAAAGGTACAAATTTGTACCTTAAAGGTCTATATTAATACTTCAAGAGTACATATTAGTACCTAAGAAGTACAAAAATGTTTCTCTTAAAAATTGTAAGGACTAATGTATACTTTTAATGTACCAATATGGACCCTTAAAGTACAAATGTGTACCTTATAAAAGGTGCAACCCCAGTGACGGCTCACATACCTTTATTTCTGAAAGTGTATAGAACTATCACAACAGATCAATTTTAAATACTTTATTATTAAAGGTTTCAAAAGCACTATAGTATTTGCTAGGCGGTTCCTTCTGCTTTGGCGACCCCCGTTTATCAGGCAAAATGAATGAAGGAATAGTACTTAGTAATTTTGACATGGGATATTTAAGCTCACCAAAGTCAACATAAGACATATTACTTGACCAATTTTACTAAATTAGGCAGGATCAAAGGTTAATAGATGGGTTAAAGTTTGACACTAGACATCAGTTTTTCTCACTCATTTGTTTCTTTCTCAGTCATATGACCTGATTTTTAGCTATAGCTATGGAAGAAAAGCGATTTGTGCATTTCCGAGATGTTGCTGTGAGCTATTTCTCACAGACGAGAGTGGATTGTCGATACACTATCAGCAGTCAACACGACTGGAGCAGTCGGGACTGGATTGGTCTTTTTAAGGTAAATCTTAATTAAACTCAGTGTCGGACAGAAATTCAGTTCATATAACTCGTCTTGTTTCTCAGGTGGGATGGCTGACTGTGAAAGATTACTACACTTTTGCTTGGGCTCTTGCGCCAGAGGGCTACCAAAAAGGAGCAGATGCAAATTGCAGTGTGGCCTTTCACCGTATGTTTACATTTAATGCAAGAATTTTTTTATACATCAATGTTTATACACACATCTACATTTAGGTGCAGGTGCTTTTGTCCAACTTACAAATGATAGAGGCATTCGGCGATTCAACAAGAAGAGGCAATACACACAACAAGAGCTGCTTATACAAAGGAACTGTTTGTGTTTAGAGAATTGTGAGCTAAAGTAAGAAGGGGGGATATTTATTTATTATATATATATTTATTAATTTTTGTGCTCAGGTAATCATGGAAAAGATGGGTTTTTAGTTGTCGTTTGACTACTTACTAAACTTAAACTTTCCAATTAAAGTTTAGACCTTTTAATGTTTATTATACAATTAAAGATGTGCTTATTCCTCTCTCAAAGACATTTTATTTAATCAAAAATACATTTAATACTTTAAAATTGTAAAAAAAAAAAAATGTTATTGCAATATGAGCAACAGGCTCATTTTCAAAATGTAGCCCTATATACATACATAAGGGGGTTCAAGTCCAGCAAAGAACGGTTCCAGAAAGCAGGTATAACAGAAACAAAAGCCAAAAAAATAAAATAAACAAGTAAATAACAAGGTGAGAAAATGGTACAATCTGAAAATGTGGTAAAAATCAGGCTGCAGCGGGGGCTTTTCTTGCTTTTGTAAACATTGCCGATTGGGTTTAGGGAAGGGGGTGGGCACTGGACAGTCAGTGCTTTTTTAAAACACTGTCGGTTGGGTTCAGGGAAGGAGGAGGGTGGGAAGATTGGTCAGTCAGTCAGTCAGTCAGTCAACAGCAGCCTCTGGTGGAGTTATACAAGAACAGCAAGTGTGAATGACACTCGCAAGAGAAATTTGAGATCGGAAAAGCCGTACACATCTGCCAGATTTGCGAAAACAAGAACTACAAAAGAAAAGAAAAAAAACGTCGCTCCTGGGACACATTTAACGCTCTCCAGAAATGTATACAGGGGTACATTTTCAGAATGAGCCAGGGTTGAAAATTAAATAACTGATTTTCTATTGAATGTAGTTTAAAATGTAATTTATTTCTTTGATTTAAAGTCAAAATGTCAGCATGGTTACCCCAGTCTACAGTGTCACATGATCCTTCAGAAATAACATGATGATCAAAAAAAGCTTAAAAATAATAATAATAAAAAGATGATTATAATGATAATATTATTATTATTGTCAGTCTTGAAAATGCTTTGTTTTATCCACACTATGATTTCCACACTTGGAAGCAGGAAAAACATGATTTCCACAAGTTAACACTAATAACTGTATGAATCTTTACTAATAGTTTTGCTCCAATAATAATCAATATTAACAGGACAGCAAATCATCATATTAGTATGATCACTGAAGGATCATGTGGCTCTGAAAACCAGTGTAATGATGCTGGAAATTCAGCTTTAAATCTAAGGAATATATTAAATTAGAAGCTACATTCAATAAAAAATATAGCCAAAATTGTAATAATAATAATTCACAATTTAACAGTTTTTACTGTATTTTTGATGTGTTAGACGCAGCCTTGGTAAGAAAAATAGTGTTATTTTCAAAACTAAAAAACTACTGATCCCAAATCTTTGTGTATAATTGGACCCATTTGCATATCACATGCTCTCAAACGTCAAGTGCAAAAACAACTGCAGTTCTTGGTAGAAGAAGAACACTCATGATCAGCCATCTGATACTGTTGCAACACTATTGCAAATGCCTGATGTCTCAACCAGGCTGTTTATGCGTGTCTTATTTTTGATATTTATGATCATTATTCCTACAATCTTTCAGCATCTTACCTGCCAATTCCGGGTGTGGAGGAGTATCAGTTTGTGTATGTGGATGAACGAGGCGACGTTTGTGCAATCAGCTCTCAGTTCACCTTCACCGCTCCGAGACCTCTGGATGAACTGGTTACACTGGAGAAAACTGGAGAGGGAGAAGAAGACGGAGATGACCTGCTGCTGGTGGTCCCAAAAGCTCTGATCCTGCAGGTACATCAAGATATCTGAGAGAAGATTCAACTAATTATAGCGCTTTTCAATTAACTCTGTTTTTATTTACATACCAAAGGCTTCACACAACAAAGTAAATCATTATTTATTCTCCATCATGTGTTTTTAGACCTTTATACATTTTTGGAAATTCAAACCATTTTCTACTGGCTTATTACCTGAATATTATTAAGATAATAACTGTTTATTAGCACTTATAAATTATGAGCTTACACCATGTCCTAACTACACTACAATTTGTCTGTCTGCACCAAACTCGACGTGACACAACAGAAACATTTAAATACCAGCCATTCATTTAAAACATCAGCACTCCCGATGAAATAGTGAGGGTTATAATCTAATGAATACATATTTAACCTCTTCAACATTATTTAAAGGCTACTGAGTAACTGAGGTTGTTGGTTTGCACTGAGTCGCCATTCTGACATTCATTCATTTTATTTTCATGGTCTAAGGTGAACTATCTGCTGCTGCTTTCAGTAGTATAGTATTAAATGTGATGTAAAATGGTATTTAAACTCATGTTGAGAGCCTTTATTACTGAATAAATCACATAATCTATACCTGAGGTGATCATAGTAGTTTATTCAGGGCCCGTCCATCCTACAGGCAATATAGACGGTCACCTAGGGCCCCGAGTTTCTTGGAGTGCCCCATGAAAGCTCTTGAATATTTATTGTAAACATAAGCTTGGCAACCCAGTGGCGCAGTAGGTAGTGCTGTCGCCTCACAGCAAGAAGGTCGCTGGGTCGAACCTCGGCTCGGCTCAGTTGCCGTTTCTGTGTGGAGTTTGCATGTTCTCCCTGCGTTTACGTGGGTTTTCTCCGGGTGCTCCGGTTTCCCTAGGTTTCCAAAGACATGAGGTACAGGTGAATTGGGCAGGCTAAATTTTCCGTATTGTATGAGTGTGTGTATGAACGAGTGTGTGGATGTTTCCCAGAGCTGGAAGGGCATCCGCTGTGAAAAACGTGCTAGATAAGTTGGTGGTTCATTGCACTGTGGCGACCTCGGATTAATAAAGGGACTTAGCCGACAAGAAAATAAATGAATGAACACAAGCGTGAGGACAAGCGCGTACGTTTAAATCATGAACAATGCGCATTCTTCAATGCACAAACCCCATTAAATGAGAAAAAATTAGAAAAAATAGCTCTGTATAATTCATACGACAAAGCTGAAAATGAAGGGACGCGGTGGCGCAGTGGGTAGTGCTGTCACCTCACAGCAAGAAGGTCGCTGGTTCCAGCCTTGGCTGGGTCAGTTTGCATGTTCTCCCCGCATTCGCGTGGGTTTCCTCTGAGTGCTCCGGTTTCCCCCAGTCCAATTACATGTGGTACAGGTGAATTGGTTGGCTGAATTGTCCGTTGTGTATGAGTGTGAATGAGAGTGTATGGATGGTTCCAGAGATGGGTTGCAGCTGGAAAGGCATCCGCTGCATAAAACATGTGCTGTTGGCAGTTCATTCCGCAGTGGTGACCCCAGATTAATAAAGAAACTAAGCTGAAAAGAAAATGAATGAATGAATAAACGCATAACACATTACTGCTACAACTTTTTAAAAACGTTTTGCAAGAACCAAAATTGCAATATGTGTTTATTTTGTAAAAAAAAAAAAAATCATGAATCATGAGGAACACATTGAATGTTTGTTGTGTTGTCTGCAATGAAAAACAAGTCAAAGAAAATTTAGAAATCACTACTTTCTTTTTTTTATTTGGTGTTGTACATTTACATAAAGTGTGTCCAAATTTCTTGAAAAAAAAAAAAATAAATAAAAAGATATTTTGAAGAATGTGGGTTGCTGGCACCCATAGGAAAATTGACTATGAAAGTCATTCATTCATTCATTTTCTTGTCGGCTTAGTCCCTTTATTACTCTGGGGTCGCCACAGCGGAATGAACCGCCAACTTATTCAGCAAGTTTTTACACAGCGGATGCCCTTCCAGCTCTGGGAAACATCCACACACACTTATACGGACAATTTAGCCTACCCAATTCACCTGTACCGCATGTCTTTGGACTCTGGGCGAAACCTGAGCACCCGGAGGAAACCCATGCAAAGGCAGGGAGAACATGCAAACTCCACACAGAAATGCCAACTGAGCCGAGGTTCGAACCAGAGACCCAGCGACCTTCTTGCTGTGAGGCGACAGCACTACCTATTGCGCCACTGCTTCGCCAACTATAGAAGTCAATGGGTGCAATTATTTTTGTATTTGCGTGCACATTCAAAAAAGTCATTTATTAAATGGAAAGTAGCTGAATCGTTCAGTTGTGAAGCATAGATGTATTTTACTCTGAAACGTACCACCGTTTTGCTATGAAAAGCTTGGAACTACTACACGAGTCCTCTTCTAGACTTTAGGATTTAGTGTCAGATTTGAGTCACTGGATCTGTCATGCTGTAACATTACTTCATTCTCTTCTTTTTTTGGTAATGTTCCTCCAGAATCTGCTGGAAGGATGTCAGCGTGAGTTGCATGAGCTGCATAAGAAGTTTGAAGCTGTGAACGGAGATGTGGAAAATGAGCGGCAGAGGTGGAAGACAGACAGAGATGAGTTTGAAATATTACGAAGCGACATGAGGAGTCAGATTGAGGAGCTCAAAACAAACCTGAGGCACAGCACTGAAAAAACTGAGGAACTGGAGCAAAAACACAAGGTATAGATATAATATAAGGTATAGCAAATTGGTGTTCAAAAACAAAAAATAAAAACAGCATCTATTAATTATGATTAAAATTATTAACCCTCCTGTGATTTTTTTCTGTTTAATTATTTCCCAAATGATGTTTAACAGAGTCATGAATTTTTCACAGTATTTCCTATAATATTTTTTTCTTAATTGTTCTATTTTAGCTAGAATAAAAGCATTTTTTAATATTTATAAAACAATTTTAAGATCAATATTATTAGCTCCCTTAAGCAATATTTGTTTGGGATTGTCTACAGAAAAAAAACACTGTTATACAATGACTTGCCGAATCATCCTAACTTTAACCTAATTAAGTTAAATGTCACTTTAAGCTGAATACTAGTATACTGAAGAATATCTAGTCTAATATTATGTCCTGTCATCATGGCAAAGATAAAAGAAATCAGTTATTAAAAAATCTTTCCGTTAAACATAAATTGGGGTAAAATACACAGGGGTGGCTAATAATTCTGAGTTCAACTGTATATATATATGAAACCCTAAAATCATATTCCTCATCAGGAAGCGCAGATCAGCAGTGAAAGCATGTCTGCTGAATTCAATGCACTATTAGCTGAGAGAGCAGAAAACCAGCAGCGGATCAAAGAACTGGAGCAGGATTCTGCAACTCTGACTCAACAAAAACAGGACATAGAGGCGGAGCTTGAAAGGTGATTTGGACATATTATGCTTTATTTATAATATCTGACAAACATTCATTTTAATGGGGTAGTTTACCCAAAAATTAAAAATATCCCATGATTTACTCAACCTCATGGGATCCTGGCTGTGTATGACTTTCTTCTTTCAGTCTAATAGTCAGATTCATATAAGAAATGATCTTGACCCATAAAAATGTGATAAATAGAAATATACGTTAAATATATTATACCAGCATATTTTTAAAGTTTGTTTTGACATAATATATGTGTGTGAATTATATATTTACACATACATCCTCCATTGGAATTACAATTATGTACATGTTCAAATAGCTATAACATTCTATATTTGTTCATATATGGCCATAAATCATATTTCTGTATGGGGTCGAATGTTTTTTTTTTTTTTTTATCAACAATCCAAAAGACATCCTATAAAGTGGATTCATCATGAATAAATTGCCTCACACAGCTCTGGGGTCAATAAAGATCTCTAGGGAATCCATGCATTTTTGCAAGACAAATGTTAAAAGCCTTATAAACATTTTTGTCTGACTTCTGGTGACTGCCGTCTGTTGTCTTCTTTTTTATGAGGGGCATTTTTTCGCACCAGTTGGACAAGACTAAACTTCCACATTTGTTTTAACTGTTCTTGCAATTCAAACTCAAAAGACAAAAATAAATCACGCCTGTCTTTTCGGTGGCGATAATGCAACCAAAATATGAAACTTAAAAATAAGGAGAAGAAGACGACAGTGATCATTCACTGGCGTCACAATCACCAGCAATCTAATCCTTACAGATCACTAGTAAACTCAGATTTTGAAAAGGTAACACCCCAGTGACAGCTCGCGTACTTTTATTTCTGAGAGTGTACAAATCTGCCGGTATATGGACTACAACAGGGGTGTCAAACTCAATTCCTGGGGGGCCGATGCCCTGCACAGTTTAGTTCCAACCCTACTCCAACACACTTACCTGTAGGTTTCAAACAAGCCTGAAGGACTCAATTAGTTTGATCAGGTGTGTTTAATTAGGGTTGGAACTAAACTGTGCAGAGCTGCGGCCCTTTTGGAACTGAGTTTGACACCTGTGGACTACAATATCCAGTCATGCAACACACACACACACCTGCTCCAAGTCTTCATTGATTACACTGATTACATTGACTCTAAAGTCAGCACACAAGCAAACAGAAGTTGCTGAGTCTTGTTGAACTGTGAGTGAACATTACGACCCGTTTTCCTTGCTTTGCCTTGCCGTGTTTTTGACACTCGCTTTGTTTTGTTTGTTTACATTATATGCTGCTTGCCTTTTTAACCATCTGCCTGTTATTTTGACTACGACTCTGGATTGCACTTATGCATCTGTTTGCTCCTGTGTTTACTGTTGCCTGCCTGACCATTCTCTGTTCAATAAAGACTCTGCATTTGGATCCTGTTGTCAGCGTCCGCTTCACATTACAACTAGAAGTTACACAAAGCAGTTTTTGACTGCTAAAAATCATGCCATTGTACAGCTGGAAAAGCACAAGATAAAATTTAGAATATAGCTTAGATTGGGTTTGACTGAAAGAAAAAAGCTCTATTTTTAATTGATTTTCAGTTTTGTGTGAACTAACCCTTTAAACTGAGGTTAACAGGGAAAACGTCTTCTGTGCAGAATGAAGGAAAGAGTTAAAAAGATGACCATTCAAAGGCGAGATGAAGAAACGGAGAGGAGAGATTTGCAGGTTAGTAATTAATTAATTCATTCTCCTTCAGCTTAGCCCCTTTATTCATCAGGGGTCGCCACAGAAAAATATCCCGCCAACTATTCCAGCATATGTTTTACACAGTGGATGCCCCACCAACTGCAACCCAGTAATGGGAAACACCCACACACTCTCATTCACACACTCACACACTATGGCCAATTAAGTTCACCTAATTCCCCTATAGCGCATGTGTTTGGATTGTGGGGGGAACCGGGAGCACCCGAAAGAAACCCACGCCAACAAGGGGAGAACATGCAAACTCCACACAGAAATGCCAACTAACCCACCCGAGGCTCAAACTAGAGACCTTTTTGCTGTGAGGCGACAGTGCTAACCACTAAGACACAGTGTCACCGACATTTTTGTATTTATTAGGAAAAAGCTGGGTTAGGAATGTGACATCTCCGTTATGAAGGTGACATGTGAAATTGGCACTTGAGTGACTTTGGTAAATCAAATATAATTTTTTGAGAACTGACAGAGACATTTTAAAAGTATTTTACGGTACTGTAGGATACAAGCCCACACAAAAAACCTACAAAGGGTTTTGCTATTTTGGTGAAAACCTTTTTTAATGGAAAGGTTGAGATTAGCATGGAATTGTTCGATTGTAAAAAGATGTATATATATATATATTTGTTGTACTTTTTCATTCACTCTGCTTTACCTTTACCAACTATGACGACTGATCAGTGTGTGAACATTAAAGTCTGCATGAACCAGAAGTTGCATCTGTTTTTTACCTGTATTGTGACGCAGTTCCTAGAGAAACAGAATATTAAATGAGTGGGCGTGGCTTGTATTTTTCTCCTGCGAGCTGATGAGATGTAGTAAAGTATGCATTTCATTCAGAAAGATGGGGGAAAGGGTTTCGGGAGAGTTATTACAACCTAACAGACTCCTCCTGCTCACCATTTCTGTTTGTAGTCAAAACTGACAGCTGAAGAGGCGTGGTTAGGTATGTTAGCCACGCCCACAGACAGACTTAATCTGAGAAATGAACTGAACACAAACAGGGAGTGCATCTTCAGATTTCAATTGAAGATTACAAAGGCGAACCATTGTTTGTCTGAATGACATGCACAGATGAATTGTTCACCACAAAACTAGCACTGTGAGCTAACAAAATCAACATGGTTAGTTTTAATTTAATGTGCACTTTAACATGTGTTGTGCAGCTAGAGAATGAGCAGATGCATGCTGATCTGCGGACGCTGCAGGAGCGTTTGGAGGCCAGCGAGCGCAGCACCGAAGCCCTGCGCAGAGACCTGAGTGAACTGGGATCTTTGCAGAGTCACAGCCATGCAGAGCTGCATCAGGTCCGGCTGCAGTCTGCGCAGATGAGCTTACAGCTGTCCCAGGCCAATCTGGCACTGCGAGAGGGACAGTCCACCTGGGCCCAGGAGAGAGAGACTCTCAGACAGAGTGCTGAAGTAAGTATGCCCTCTCTCTCTCACTGCCATTGACACTTTTGTACCAATATTATTCGAGAGAGCAAGAGCAAGAGCAGTAGTTAATGTAATTTAACCCTTGTGTACTGTTCAAATTGACTACTACAATGGGGCTGTTTTTGCCCCATTGACTTCCATTATAAGCGCTTTTTTTTTTTGCAAAGCCATGACACAGTATAATCATGCATTCTTGTTTTTGTTTACCGTTGATCGTCAATTGGCAAGTTTTGGGTCACTTTACTTTGATGATCTGTTTGCTGAATTTAAGTTACATTACAACTAATTCTCATTAGATTATAAGTAGACTGTTAGTTTGGGGTTAGGGTTAGTGTAAGTTGACATGTACTTGCAAAGCTTCTTATAGTCAGTTAAACATCTGTTGAAGGAGCAGTATCAGCAGATATTTAGCAGACAGTCTACTAATACTTAAATGGACCATCAAAATAAAGTGTTACCAAGTTTTGGACTTTTATGGAGTTCTGTGGAGTAAAACAGCAGATTATGGTGTGTGCCCCATATAGAAGGCAGAAACTAAGCTTTTTTTGCACTGCGACTGATGATCAATAGTAAAAAATGTCAAATTTGACCTCTTCCCAACAGGGAAAAGCAGCAACAAACAACAATGCATGATTTATATGGTGTAATGGATTTGCAATCAAAGAAATGTTGCTATAATGAAAGTCAATGGGGCAAAAACAGCTCCAACATAACAACAGGGTAGTCACTTTGCCCAGAGTGTATTGTTGGGTTTTTGGAAAATTGCAAAGCATTTTTCCAGAATATGTTTAAAAATAAAATTTGTCACCAAAAATCTTTCAATTTGCTGAAACACAGAGAAAGTTTAACCAAATTAAGACTCAAAATCACATCCCCAACAGCAAACTAGGGTTTAAAGCAGTTATCACCAAACTTGTTCCTGGAGGGCCGGTGTCTTGCAGATTTTAGCTCCAACCCTAATCAAACACACCTGAATGAGCTAATCAAGATCTTACTAGGTATACTTGAAACACCCAGCCAGGTGTGTTGAAGCAAGCTGGAGCTAAACCCTGCAGGGAAAACGGCCCTCCAGGACCGAGATTGGTGACCCCTGGTTAAAAGGCTTAGTTCACCCAAAAGCGAAAATTCTTATTAATTCCTCACACTCATGCTGTTCCAATCCTCAGAGACTTCCATTCGTCTTCAGCACAAAAATGAAGATATTTTAGATGAAATCAGAGAGATCTCACATTGTCCAAAATGAGAGGCAAAGCATTGCTATCTCTTGCTGACCCACGAGCTGAGTGATTTCTGTTTTATAAGTGAAAAATCTGGATAATTTGCGGGCAATAAGATATAGAGTTACTAACTGACATAAAGACATGCGTGGCCTGTGCTTCTACAGACTTCCTTCACAGAAGGAGCAGACAGAAAGGAGAATATTCTGGATTTGTGCTGAATAATATTTAACAATAATTAAAGAATTAAGTGAAGTTTCACAAACTAATTTCGAGAGGAGCATGTGATATGATTGACCGCAGCTGGTCCCTCATCTACAATCACTAGTTAGCCAATCAGATTAATTCAAACTCACTATAAGTTGCCCAGCTAAAATTACTCCCTATCTTCCTTTTCCGAAGAAACCCTCCATCCACCCCTTCTCCCTCTTTCTTCCTTTACCTCAGGGAGCTCTCGGCAACTACCTGATCTCGTATTCATTTACATGCTCTATCGACCAGGCGAAAGCCCTGGGCTCAATTATCACCAAGAGAGGTTGTCTCCTGAAACAACACGGCAAATCTGCTAAAACTTGTCAGACAATATCTAAGTGTGAAAATTGATATTTTTATTTCATGGTGCTGTAAAGCTGGATAAGGACCGTGTCCAGAAATTGAGCCGTGAGCTCCAGAAGAAGGAAGAGTGGCTCCAGGAGGAGAGAAGCGAGCGTGAGAAGCTGGAAGTGGAGCTTGGGATCGAGAAGGACTGTAACCGGGTAAATATCCCACCACACATGCATGGCCTATAATTAAACTTTCACCTCAGTCGGAGCTGTCTGTCCACATATGTGGGTCAGGTTTCTGCTCTGGAAGTATGAGGCAAGAGTTGCTCTAAAAAAACCACGTGTAAATAAGCTGACCAAAATAGATATGAAACACCACTATAACATGCACACGTATATGCTTACACTAGTGTTTTTTTCCCCCAGCCTTCATAATCAATGTGTGAGGTTCCTGTTGTATAGTTCAATTGATTTAAAAAATCTGAGACTTAAAGGGTGAATTTACCTAACTCAATCGTGTGCACAGGAGCAGAGAGCCAGTCTGAGAGCCCTGCAGAAGGAGCAAGAGCAACATCAGTTGGAGAAACAGGTCTGAATGCGTCAATATTTCCGACTCGTATGATTATATGTGATGGCATGCTGTGACCGGTAGTGTTTATATTCACAAACAGGAGCTGTTAGATCACATCCATGTTCTGGAGCTGAGGCTGGACACAGAGACAGATGCTAAATGGGCCGAGGCAGCGGCTACGCCTATATGTCAGTTTGCAAAATCCTACTTGCATAGAGCGGGTAAAATAAGTAGTGAACACCATTTACTTACAAAACATAGTACTAAAGGAGCTGTTGACTTGAAATTTTTACCAGATGTGGGTAACAACCAAAGCAATCCATGCATACTGTAACGAAGTGGCTGAGACAGAGGGATCCACAGTTTAATAACAAATAGCACACAGATGTTGTGCGTGCGCAAACTCACATCAAACACAGTTTTATATTGTCATTGGGCTGGCGGCAGGTAAACACAGGATGAGTAAGCAGGCATGGGTCAGAGGCAGGCGGCTAGTATCAGAGTCGTTAAGCAGGCTAGAGTTCAAGGGAGGCGGCGAGGATCAAAGTCGGGATTCAGGCTGAGGTGCAAGGCAGGCGGCAGACAGGACTGGGTCAGAAAATGAAGCAAGATCACAACGGGAAAGCAGGCAAGGATGAGAGCGCTCAGTAGTGCTAGCTAGGGCAGAACAAGACTTTGCAATGAAGCAGCATGTGTGTGCTGCTTATATGTGTGTGGAGAGTGATTAACTGGATGTGTGTCAGGTGTGTGGGCAATCAGTGTAAAAGGATGACGTAATGTCAATAGTCCGGTGATGATGACCTCTGCTGGCCAGCGAGGGGAATGACTGGGACCGAGTCTGTGACACATACCGTACCTGACAAACGCCTTGTCGCCTATCCAAGTTGTAGGAACCACAAATTATGACTTGGCTTCTAGTTAATCATTTGTTATCAGATGTGGCTTATATAAATAAGCAATCTGAAATGGCAAAGAAAGCGTTCTTGCAGGACTCCCAGAGTCCCAAAATTCATTGGACTTTTTCATCTTCCCCAGACGTGCTCAATAATGTTCATGTCTGGTAACTGGGCTGGCCAATTCTGGAGCAGCTTGACCTTCTTTGCTTTCAGGAGCTTTGATGTGGAGGCTGAAGTATGAGAAGGAGCGCTATCCTGCTGGAGAATTGTCCCTCTCCTGTGGTTTGTAATGTAATGGGCAGCACAAATGTCTTGAAACCTCAGGCTGTTGATGTTGATCATCCACTCTGCAGATCTCTCCATACTGAATGAATTCCAAACCATGATTTCTCCTTTACCAAACTTGACTGATTTCTATGAGAATCTTGGGTCCATGCTGGTTCCAGTAGGTCTTCAGCAGTATTGGTGATGATTAGGATGCAGATCAACAGATGATTCATCGGAAAAATCTACCCAAATGATCAACTAGAAGTCAAGTTATTATTTGTTGCTCTTACAACTAGAATCGATGACAAGACTTTTGTCAGGTAGTGTACAAAAGAAAACAAAACTAGTTTAGTAATTAGGTTATGTGCAATAAAAAGAAAAGTATTGAACACATGAAGAATGGAAGATGTAAAAAGGCATGGAAAGTCCAGACAGCAGCTGAAATCTCTGATTATTATTCAGCCCATCATCAGTGTAAATGAATATTAGCTGCTTCAGTTACAAATGATGAAGAAAAAGGTGGACATTTCAGCAAGACAATGATCCAAACAAGCCAAGGAAACTCTCAAATGCTTCCAGAAAAGAAAATAAAGCTGCTAGAATGGCCCAACCAATCACCTGATCCGAACCCAATAGAAAATATGAGCTGAAGATCAGAATTATAGATGAAACCCACAGAACCGATCAAGTTGAAGTCTGGGGGGAAAAATCACACTCCGTTGTGGCTCATTTCTCCATACGAGAGCCGTCTTGAAGATGTTGATCCCTAAAAAGCCTTTTATATAAAGCATTAAACACATTTGGGTAGTTCAGTACTCTCTTCTTGTGTCATTTCGTTGTTATAACACATAACTAATTTTCCTAATTTTGTTGTTTGTTCACATGTTTGGATTTTTACCAAAATCTGGATCATTTTTATGTTCTTTAGAAAAATATTTACCTAGAGAAATCATAATATGTTAAATACCTATTTTACCTGCTGTATAATTCTGGTCAAAGTGAGCTTGTCCTGATTTTATATTAAATCATCTTATTTTTTTTACAGCTTACATCGATAGCCTTTCATCCATTGACGAAAAGCCACTACTAGAGTCTTCATCTGAGCTGTCGTTAAGTGCACTAGACAGTGAACAACATAATGAATCAACAGAGAACAACCCAAAGGATAATGAGGATGATGTGATGGTGAGTACCGCAAAAATATATCGTAATCAGTAGTTCATGTAAATGTAAGTAATGTGACTGATTTTAATTATTGAAAATTGACTAGTTCATAACGTAAATGTAATTGATAACTTAGAAAGAGGGAGGAGGAAGTACACTGAGGAACGAATTGAACCAAAACGTTTGATTTAGTTTCCTTGTTAAAACAAGAATATTTGTATGATTATTTGGAATATTTGAATGTTTTGGATAAATCCTTATTGAAATAAGCAGCACAAAAATTAAATAGTCTTAAAATTAAAGTCTATTTTACCAAAAATCTGTTGATTCAGTGGTCATTTTTGCATTGATGCAACTGTTTTGGACACAAAATTCCATCTGTCTGATTGGGAAAATCCTGCAATTTTTATAAATGCTTGGCACACTTAAATAAATATATATATATATATGTATATGTATTTAAAATCAGAATACTAAAATGCTGTTGCCCCCTACATGGATTTTGCATTTGCATACACTATTGTTCCTTTCGGAGCTGATCTGATCAGATCTGTAAAGTCAATTTCCTTCAAGTTCACAATGGCATTTTGTGTATCATTTGTGTAGCATTTAAATATGTTCAGCAACTTGGAAAAAAATAAACAATAAAAATAAATAAATAAATAAATATATATATATATATATATATATATATATATATATATATATATATATATATATATATATATATATATATATATATA